TATTTTGGCTTTTTAGCCACAAGGCAAGTGGGATCTTAGCTCCCTGATCAGGGATCAAACCCACACCACTGCAATGGCAGGTGAAGTCTTAACCAATGGACCACCAGGGAAGCCCCAACCTTATTTGCTTTATATTCAAGTTAATCCACTATCTCTGCTAGAAATTGATTCTTCACTTAGTTTCCCATTTTCCAACTTTGATTTCTATTGCACCCCACACCTACTCCACCTTTCAGCCACATGGTTTACTTGCAATTCTCAGGATCTTTTCCTCCAACTCTTCTATCCAGATAGCACTCTCTCTCCATCTCTGCCCACTGAAATTCTACTGATTATTCCAGAAGCAGGTCAAGTGCCAACTGTTCAAATACGTTTTCTTCTTTTCCTGTAAAACTCTAGATTGCCACTCCTGCATTGCTTGCCACATGTTGACCCCATGTTATCATTTATATGTCATTATTTGTGGGCTTACCTTTCCTTCCAATCAATATTTCTGAAGTACCTGTGACACATCAAGGGTATATACTAGGCATTTTATATGTGTTGTCCTATTTAATCCTGACAACAGCCTTGTGAAATACCTGCTCCCATCTTGATTTTAGAGATCAGGAATCTGAAGCTGTCAGAAGTTAATTAACTTGCTTGAAGTAGCATCCTCACTGAGTGGCAGACTCATCACCATCCATTTACCAAAGTTTATTTCAATCTGTGTCTGCCAGACTCCAAAGCCCTGTGGGCTCTTCAACACAGAATGGGAAATCCCTTTGGGGGCAATTAGCACTGAAGCCTCAGGACAAGACAGATCTGGGAAAGGCAGTGTTCTCCTCCTCTCTCATTATGATTTAGATTCACTGTGCTCTAGGAAATGCTCTTTTGGCTCCCAGTTAGCACTGAGCCCAGGCGAGCACAGGGCTGAAAAATGATTCGTGAGGACAAACAGCACCCAGGTTGTTTAGTTCCACTGGTGACCCTGGTTATTTTAAAACTGTGAAAGGAACGCCAAGCCCCAGCACATGTATAGCAATCCAGAACTCCCAGCTCTCTACCTCCTCAGTTGACTTTACCCTCAACCTCTTTGTTCCCTGATTCAGTCCATATGGATGCCTCAGATTTCAGAAACAAGGCAGGAACAGCATTGCTGTCATTAGACTTGGCCTTGGCTGGTAAGAGTACTTGACTCACAAGAAATTCATATGAAGATTAAGAACAGGGAAGAGTTAGTCTACCCTGGATTGATTTTTCACCATTTAGGATTGGAAGCCCCCAAAGCTTGCTCGGTCAGTTCATGCTGTCAAGCAAAGAATATTATAACAATGGGTTCACCCTCTTCCTTATGGATTTGGAGTCAAGGGTGTTCAGCAACCACTGTTTGCTCAAGGAGAGCGTAGACAAGACTCGCTGACGCCTGCGGCCAATGAACAGGACTCCTAAACCACTTTCACTCCAGCATGGGCTGTGGATCTAATGGCAAAGAAGCTGAATGGAAAATGGGGTGAGGCAACTTGAATTTGTGTTTTAGCTGTATTTTCTCTTTCAATCCTCAAAGTAATCTTTTTTGAGTTGGGCATTATTGAAATACCCATTCTGCAGATCTAAAAACTGGGTAGTAAGTAACAGGCAGGAACTGGAACCTGCCTGTTGAGTATGTTGATCTCCATAGCTTTCCACTGCCCTCAATTTATGCTCTGTGGCAAGGCCTTTTGCTTAGGCAAATGTCAATCATTTTAAAAGGCAAAATTTGTACACAAATTAGAGCTCTCAAATATCAGTATTCTTCCCTCCCTAGGAAGCAAGATGATACAATGTGTTTAATTTCTTAAATGTCTCATATTTTCCAAAGATCTCAACAAGAAGTGGTAGTTGAACTGTAAGATTCTTACCTTCCACTCAGGGGACTCCAATGTTGGATTCTTAGGCAAGTGACTTTGCTTGATGGAACTGGTTATCTTGATTGGTTAGACCACAGACCACCAAGGCCAGTAAGCCACATTCACTGACAAAATCATCCTATTCCCAGCCATCTTTAAAACAGGTCATGAAGTGGCTAAGTGAAAATATGGATGATCCAGGGCAGGACATTTCTGGGACTGACACAAGTTACCATTGGTAAATTTCCATTGGTAAATTTTGGAGTGACTGGAGTCACTCATTCACATTCATGAGTAAATATTCATGAGGTATATTTATTCACACACAAAAATCTCTTTTCCCACCCTCTCATTTCTTCATGATCGGTTGTATTGTAGATAGTCTAATGGTTAGAATGTTGTTATTTAGTCACTAAGTTGTGTCCAACTCTTTGCAACCCCATGGACTGTAGCCTACCAGACTCCTCTGTCCATAGCATTTCCCAGGCAAGAATATGGAGTGGGTTGCCATTTCCTTCTCCAGGGGATCTCCCTGACCCAGGGATCGAACCTGTGTCTCCTTCTTGGCAGGCAGATTCTTTACCACTGAGCTACTCTGGAAGCCAAATGGTTAGAATACCTTCATAATAATACATTTCCATATGGGATGGGGTTGTTTTTGCTAATCAGTAGTTAATACTGACAACTTATAAATATTTCAACCTCTCAAAACCTTAGCCAAGTATGACACTTCAAATTAATTACACAGGGCTAGACTCTTGATGTATTATGAAGGTTTTCACATTTCACATAGATAACAGTAATTTTTATTTTGCTTCTCCCTGTGCCTTTCATGTAATTCTTAAAAATATGTTGTTGCTGCCTCCGCCATATGGTTAAAAATAGTTACTCAAAACACAACAAATTACTGTTATTTCTATACTATAGAAACTACTGAGTTTCATTACCCCTTCATACCTTTCTGTATCCCTTCAAAAGAATGTTGAAAGGCATTTTTGGTTGGAAGACATTCACTACTTATTCTCTGAATTATGTTCGCAACATTTTAGAAACACTTGAAAAAGACTTGTGACATATGTTAGCAAAAGTCCAGAGAAAGAAAGTAGAGATTGGCAGGAAGCAAGATATTAAGGAAATCAACAGTCTGACCAAAGGTGGGTCATGTACTGTCAGATACACTGAAGAAAGCATACTGGGGAAGGCAAGCTATAAACAGGATCCAGATTTAGCAGCCCACAAGGTAACCAGATGTTGACTACCAAGGGGACAGAGGTGATGGGATCCTCCAGTCCCTCTCGCAGACCTCCCACCTTTACATGCCTTCCTTGAAGCCATGATATGATCACAAGTATTCCCACTTCCATCCATTACTTTTCTCTAGCCTTCCAAACTCCTTTCTTACCCCACTTCTCTCCTTTTCCACTTTATATTTTGCCCCTCTGTACATAATCTTTTGTTTTCAACCACTTTTAAGTAATCTCATTTCAGCTGGGAAACAACTCATGTCTTCTTCCCTCGTTCTGAGCCCAGGGACTCGAGTCCCTCCTGAGCTCCTTGGAGCTGGGACCTTTCCCGAGCTCAGCAGTCCAAGCTGTGAGGGTGATCTGTGAGTCCTCCAACGGGGTGGCCCCTCCATGACGCCAGGCTGCTCCTCTTCCTTCCTCCCCCTAAGCCCAAAGAACCTAAACTCCGTGCCCTCTGAAACTGTCTGTGCCTAAGTCCCCAAGATCTCCGCTGGGATCCAAGATTTTTTTTTTACCTAAGTGGGGTCGGGTCGGGGAGGACAGTACCTCTTTGCAGGCGTGAAGCTCCGGTCCCGCTCCCTCAGTCACCTGGAAGGCGGTCCCAACCCAGAGCAGCAGCCGCAGAAGCCGGAGTGTGCCCGGCTCAGGTCTTCCCCTGCCTCTGGCAGAGGGATGGAGGTTGTGGCCAGGCTCAGCCATACTCTTGTTCCGAGCGAGCGGCAGCAGCGGCTCAGGTGCTGCGGCTGCAGCTACTGCTGGCAGAAGGCGGAAAAAAGGGGAGGGAGATTTACAGGGGGCAGGATGTAAGGGGCTGGGCTCGCTTCAGTCACCTCCCTGCGGCTACGCCAAGGCCGCCCATCCTTCCTCCTCCCTCCTTTCTCTTATCCTCCTCCTACCCACGTCGCCTTGGCAACCGCCTCCTCTTTCCCTTCGCGCGGGTGGGGCAGGGACCACGCGCTCCTCTGCCGCTCACCTGCCGGTCGCCATGGCAGCCGCCGCCGCTAGCCCGCGCCGCGCAGAAATACACGCGCCCAGGTTCTGCAACCGGCCCAGCAGGCGCGCACAAGGCTCGTGCAAAGAACGCGATGTAAACAACCTCCAAGCCATCACCACCAAATTCATTATTTCGGGCCATCGGCTACTTATGAGCATCACTAATTTTGCAGACGTGGCGTTCTGCATACACTTATTAAGCATCTTGGTAAAAGCGACAGAAAAATAACCGCGATGATGTCTCTCCTCCAGGGATTATAGCCTGGAAGACTGGCCCGGGTAGTTGTTACCTACTGTTAACAGCTGCTTCTGGGGGTCTTACTTCCACCACGCCAAACCCATTTGTGAATTTACAACCAGTCCTGTGCGAAGCCCTAGGACTCATATAGTCAAGCCGAATTTAAGCAAGGAGAGTTTGCCTTAGCAGGGCAATTTTCAGAACACACCTGGACTCCTCTGTCTTTTGATATCCCCATTCTGTCATCGCTCTGAGAAATCCTCTCGTAAGATTCCAAGGAGAAGGACATTTCAGGGCTGGCTATCTTTTACGAATTCTTTCCTAAACTGAAGTCTTTTGCAGAAGATCTGTAAGATGGGAGGCCGGCGTTTTTCACCGACGGCTCACGAGTGCAAATCCAGGGCTCCCGAGCACACTCGGTGGCTCTTTCGCCTCTGTGTTCCCAGTAGCTTCTTCCCGACGGGCCTCCTGCGTTAGACCGCCAGGTGGCGCCCTTCTCGGGGGGAAGTCGCCTTAGTCACAGAAGGCCGAGCAGTTGCCTGGCAACTGAAATTGGCGTTCCAAACAACTGGGATCCGGGCTCCTCCGCGTGCTAGGTTGTGTGCGGCTGCGTGGGTCTCTCATCCCTCTTAAGAGCGCCTCGCTCGGTGTTTTACCATGCCTCTCACCCGAGACCCTTTCCAGAACCCAGCGCTGGATAAAGATGATTCCTACTTGGGAAAGTCGCGGGCTTCCAAGGTACTGAGGTTTCTTACGCAGGTACCCAGTAGGGTCGACGTCACTCTTCTGTCGGCCTGACCTGAAGAAGCGGTAACTTAACCCTGGTGAGGACACTGAGTCAGGTACGGGAGAGGTCTGTTTTCTGCCTGCCTCCATGATCCCATATTCAGGTCTCCCCACCTTTCACAGGTGCTTTTGAGCAGAGGGAAGTGGCGCTCTAGTCCAGAGGAACAAGGGGGCACTTGCGGACCTAAGCAATGAATAGTATGACGGGGCTTGCACAGGCCCAGATTCCACCAAGCAACGCTTTGCCCTATTTAGGAAACTCTTCTATGAAGAGACGTGAGGTATACAGAGTGGGAAAGAAGTATCAAACACCCGGTCATGCTTTATACATCTGTCTTTGATTCATGTTGGAATGTGTTTGCATATGTGTGTGTTTCATAATGGTCCAGGAGGAGTAATGGACCCTAAAGCAGTGATGCAGGGGGTGGCGGTAAGATGCAAAGGGCAGGACTGATGGGGCTTTGTGGCTGACTGGATATGGGCCCAAGAGAGTGGCCAGTCTAGGAGGGCTCCTAGGTTTCTGGGGGCTTCAGTTCAGTCGCTTAGTCGTGTCCAACTCTTCGCGACCCCATGAATCACAGCACGCCAGGTCTCCCTGTCGATCACCAACTCCCAGAGTTCACCCAAACTCATGTGCATCAAGTCGGTGATGCCATCCAGCCATCTCATCCTCTGTCGTCCCCTTCTCCTGCTGCCCCCAGTCCCTCCCAGCATCAGGGTCTTTTCCAATGAGTCAACTCTTCGCATGAGGTGGCCAAAGTACTGGAGTTTCAGCCTCAGCATCAGTCTTTCCAATGAACACCCAGAACTGATCTCCTTTAGGATGGACTGGTTGGATCTCATTGCAGTCCAAGGGACTCTCAAGAGTCTGAGGGCTTAGCTGATACCATTTACTGAATGAGGTATCCAGGAAAAGAAGGTTTGGGGAGAATGACATTGAGATCCATGATATAGCTGTTGTTTTTTGGTGCCTGTGGGACACTGTGGAGATGAAGAATAGACGACATGGTTAGGGCTGTGGGCTGATGATGTGTGGAAGCCACAGTATTCATAGAGTGGTACTTGAAGCCATAGGAGGGAATGAGCTCATCCAGTGAATGTGAGAGTCAGAAAGGCAGCAATGAAACCCCTGGAGAATCCCACTCAGGGGCAGAGAGAGAAAACAGAGCTGAGAAGGAAGCTGAGAAATAATAGGCAGATGCAGGAGGAAAACCAGGAGGAGCTAGACCCATGCAGGATGGAGAGAACATTTTGTGGAAACAGAGTTGTGGCGCCAGGAACCACTGAGGTCAAATAAGATCAGGTCTAGAAATGATCCACTTGACCTAACCACAAAGGTCATTAGCATGAGTAGTTTAAGTGGATGCTTGAGGCAGAGGTCAGACTGTATTGGGATGGAAAGGGGACGGAAAGGGGGTGGGAGAGGAAGTGGAGTGTAGTATGTGTTGACTCTGAAAGAAGGCTGGCTCGGTAGGAACATCATGGAGTGGTAGCCAGACAGTGACGAAAGGATGAGGAAAAGCTGGACACAGATGCCAGGATAGCACAGGTCCCTCAAGTACCAGGAAGGGCTGGGTTCAGGAAGGGTTATTCTTGAATAAAAGGGACTTCCCTTTCTCTGAAATGGAAAGAAACTGGATAGTGAAGATGGCAACTCATGCTTGACAGGCTTGACGTTCTCAGTGAAAGACCATCTCACCCTTCTGCTTATAGGGATGAGGCTTATGCAGCCTTGGAGGACTGGAAGAGCTACCTGTGCTTGCGTCATATGTCATATTCCCATCTCCTTTTCATCTTTCTTGGTGATGGCATAGTGCCTGGTCCACCATTCAATTAATGCCTGATTGAGCTGAGTCATACAGCACTGTGTCATATACTGGGGATGAAGTTTCCAATATCAGATGAATGAGATTTCTACTAGGTTGTAGTTGTACTCACTGGAATTCAGTCATTGATTCAATTAGCATCTCATTTTAGAACACCATGTTTTAGGTCACTGTGCTGGGTACTGGGGACACAGTGGTGAGCAATATGGCATTTTACATGTAATGTAGAAATCAGCTATGTGCTTTTCATATTCATACTTGCGGGGTTTTAATGAGAGAACCAAACATTCAATGAACTTTTTGACGTTCCTGCAGAAACAATGACCCTTCCTTGCTTACCAAAACTTTTTTTCTCACCTGTCTAGATAGACACTGTTCTCTCCTGATTCTCCTCTCCCAATTCTCTTGTCTCTGACTGCCCCCAGCCAGCCCCATTATAATATTGTGCAGTCAGTCCTCATGAATCACCTCTTCCTTTTTGGTCAGATTCTTTTTGGGAGGCTTCAGCTGTTACTCCAACAACTGCATATTGAGTTAGAATATCTTACCTCTTCCTCAAACTCAGGACTTCTGAACCTGAGCTCATTTTGCCTGTCTGCTCCCCATACTTCACTTCATGTCCCATTTCACCCCCTTCGCTGTCTTCCTGGCCCATTTCTGTCAGTTCGAAGAGAAAACTTAGGAGAGTCAAAAGGCTGGGAGGCTTGCCCCATATCATCCTTCTCATTTAGATGTCTCGATTCAATTAAAATGGAATGGCAGGAGGGGATGGATGTCACTGATGCTACCACATCAACAAGGCCTTCGGTAACCAAGTGTGGGTGTGGTTTCTCTTTTGCAGAAACTGCCATGTAAGAACCCAACTCACCTTGCTCAGCAACAGGAACCCTGGTGTCGACTCAGCTCAACTCCCACAATTACCTCCATGAAACGGGATGTTTTGTTTTTTTATTCAGAGGTACCTAGCATTGAAATGCTATTTCTCATTATATCCACTTAGGATTGACTATCCTTTTTGAAAGGCAGTCTGTCCCTGACTGCTTTAGCAGCTTTATCTTGCCCCCAATCCAAGATCCTATCAAATCTAAAACCAAATACCAACTTTATCAGGGCTATGGGAAGGCAAAAGGCTTGAGTTTTGCTGCAGTTAATTATTTGGAGCAAATCATTCTCTCATTAGACTTTTCATTATAACCATGAATGGGCACAAGGCCCATTAAGCTCAAGTGGTTCCCCAGGAGAGCATCCCACTCCTTAGACTTAACCACGAAACAATTCTATATGGACAAGATTTAAGAAGTCATCATGTACAATAATTTGGTGTGTAAAGAGCTGGTGGGTCTCAGGCCCAAAAAGGGTTCACTCTGCTTTGGGAGAAGAGTAGAGCCCAATAGAACCCGACTAGAATGGGTGCACAGGTAGCAAGTTAACCCTGAGGGGGTTGGCCTCTTCTGTAGATACCGAAGGATGACCTGGATTTCCGCTTAGCAGCCTTGTACAACCACCACACAGGGACATTCAAGAACAAAAGTGAGATACTCACACACGAGGAGACCATCCAGGATACCCGCAGGTAAGTGGTAGAGGCAGAACCTCACCCTAAGAACAATGGCATCCAATCAAGTAAGGTAAACTGTCACCTGGGAAATAATCAATAGGTTCCTGTTTGTATAGATTTTTGCATTTTTTTTTAACTTCTGTATCTGTAATACAATTTCTGTGGGTTTTTTTCTAAAATGAAGAGATCTTCCAAAATTGGGCTCATCCATATAATAAAACATTTCGTTAATTCGAGAGCCCAGAAAGGGCCTTTGGTTGCTATATTTTTGAGGTTGCATGCAACTCCTTCCTTCCTTCCCTCCTTCTCTTGATTTCATTCTCCCCTGTTCTTCTCACATCATCTTCCAGAATCAAGACCCAATTCCCTGGAGAATTTTTACCCACTCCCCAACCACCGCCCATCACTTCCAGAGCTAACATCAGACATTGGATCAACCCTAAGAAGGAGTCTATTCACAGCATACAGGGATCCATAGGTAAGGGTTAGAAGACTGAGGAATGGGAGGAAGATGGGTGGTGCAAGAGTTTTTCTAAATGGACACAGGAATCAGGGAGTTGAGGTGGCTGGCTATTAGGGAACATGAGGGATAACTGAGTCTGGCACATACCAGGCTAATGCCAGCGGACAGGACTGCAGAGCTAGGAAATGAATTCAGTTTCAGAGCCTCTGCTTCAGCCTTAGGTCTAATGGACAAGAATTTTCAGCAAAGGACAGAAACCTGGGGAAAGACCTATAGCTACCTCCTATCAGTCTTCTGGGCTTCCCCAGCTGTTAGAACCTTCTCCATGGTCCCCGTGAAAGTATGGGTGACAAATTCCCAGAAAAGGCAACAGATCTTAAATTCACGGCCCATTCCTTCTTCTTTTCTCCACAGTGTCCCCTCACACTGCAGCCACCAATGGAGGGTACTCCCGAAAGAATGATGGTGGCTTCTTCTCCACCTAAGTGTTGACAGGCCCCTGGACTAATTAATCATTGTGGAACATCCCGCCGACCACCTCCATTAAATAGATTTGTGTAAGTTGAAGCCTGGAGTATGTGTTACCCGCAGACTACAAGTTGCCACTTGACTACTCTTAAAATATGGAAGTTTCTCAACTTCTAGAAACTAATCCTATTGGGCAATATTTGCAATTCGGTCATCTTGCTGAAACGATAAGGATTTAGGACAGAACAGCACTGTTTTTGGCAGGAGACAGGTATTCACATTTTGAGTCATTCAAACCATACAGATATATAGCCATTCAACCTTTCTTTCATGTGTCAGGTACTAATTGTTAGGGAGACAAGAATGGGCATTGTCCAGTCTCTCAATGAACTTACAGACACTAACTTTAGTAGCTCTTTGTGGCATTAATATTAATGGAGAGGTCACACTTGACAGATTTCAGCCCTTCTGAATTTAGTCATTTGCTGGGCTCTCCTCCATGAGAGCTCAGTCTCTCTGGTCCTTCTTCCTTGCCATTGTTCATTGTCTTAACTCTGCTGACTCCTTGCCTGGGAGTCAATTCTTTTTTGGTTGCCTTGATTTATAGCCCCTGATTCTTGGAAACAGAGCTTAACAATCTGATCCTAGAGTCTGAAAGTACCTAAAAACTAATGCATTAATGTGGTTTCTAAAATTACAAGCCACCCACAGGAACCTGCTGTCAGAATGAGCAAGAAATGACAGACCCTTTAGAATATCATCCAATTTAAGTTCCCATTTCTAAACTTGGACAGCATATGCACTGTTGAATAAATCAGACATGAAAGGGCTCCTGTTTGGTACTCAGGTGCAGGGTCCTTAAACTCCACCAAACTAACAGTCCCTCTTCTACAAAGATACTCCAATTTATTCATAGTGTTTAGCTAAGTGGCAATATTTTCAGTTCTCATTATTTAGAAGGGCTGGAAGTAGCAGAGAGGGGTGACTCTCTGGATAATCACCTCATGCGAGTTGATACTGAAAATCAAAAAATTTATTACTGTGATCCATGCATGGAGGCTTTAAATAATAGATTCCTAGACCTCTCTGATAATTATTATTCAGTAAATCTGGTGCGGGTCCCTGGAATCTGAGTTCTTATAAGCTTTCCAAGTTCTCTTATGAACATATATACACATATATTGTTGTTTAGTCACTAAATTATGTCCGACTCTTTCCCACCCCATGGACTGTAGCCCGCCAGGCGCCTCTGTCCATGGGATTTTTCAGGGAATAATACTGGGGTGGGTTGCCATTTCCTTCTCCATGGGATCTTCCCAACCCAGGGATCGAATCAGGGTCTCCTGCACTGCAGACGAATTCTTTACCACTGAACCACCTGGGAAGCCCTTATATACACATATGTAGACGTGCGTATACACCTACATGCCTCCACGGGCAGGCGCCGTATAGTTTCTTTACACCGAGGGCACAATTGTTGGTATCACACCCAAAAGTCATGATGACAAGGCGGGCCTAAAGGAAAAAAAAAAAAAGGCGCCTAGAAAAGTAAAACTGCAGGAGAGAACAAGGTCTCTGTCCCAATTCAGTTTTCGCCGCCTGCAGGCGGGTCGACGCCTAGTTCGACCGCCCGCCAAAGACTCCAGCCAGCTGTCGACTGTCGACACGTTATCCCCAACGCCACGGGCGGCCGTGCCCTGGGGCCGGGCTCAGATCAGAATCGCCTCGATAATCAATGGCGCGGGACAAGACCGGCCTCGTCTATCTGATCAATTCATCACTTCTGAGCGCCGGGCCCCATAGGACCGGCTCCGGAACTTCTGGGGCCACGGCGTTGCCACCGCCCAAGGGGCCTTCGCTGCACAGCGCCCCGCGGAAGGGCTTCGCAGGAAGGAAGCTTTTCATCTCGGGTCGGCCCGGCGGGGCTGGAGTCACAACCCGATCAAATAAGATCAACGTGTAGGCCGGGGGAGGGGGCGCAGGCACACGCACTCACACATTAACTCATCCACTCACACATTCACGCATCCACTCACACACTCGGCCTACACGCGCCGCCCCCCACCCCCCCCCCCCACACACCACCACACAGCAATGCACAGCAACCTCACTTCCAGCCCGCTCTCCCTCCGGTGAAGGAGCGGAAGTTCGCACTCTCTTTTATAGCCCCCGGCCCCGGAGGCTTCTGGGAGGAACCACCAAGCACCGGCCCTCTCCGAGTGTGCACTTTGCTGCCCTCGCGTGGTTCGGAGGGGAACCAAGGGCCCTGGTTCAGGTCCGTTCAGTCGTTCAGTCGTGTCCAACCCCACGGACTGCAGCACGCCAGTCTTCCCTGTCCATCACCAACTCCCGGAGCTTACTCAAACTCATGTCCATTAAGTCGGTGATGCCATCCAACCATCTCATCCTCTGCTGTCCCCTTCTCTCGTCTTCAATCTTTCCCAGCATCAGGGTATTTTCAAATCAGTCAGTTCTTCGCGTCAGGTGGTCAAAGTATTGGAGTTCCAGCTTCAGCATCAGTCCTTCCAATGAATATTCGGGATTAATTTCCTTTAGGATTGACTGGTTGGATCTCCTTGCTGTCCAAGGGACTCTCAAGAGCCACAGTTCAAAAGCATCAATTCTTTGGCATTCAGCTTTCTTTATAGTCCAACTCTCACATCCATACATGACTACTGGAAAAGCCATAGCTTTGACTAGATGGATCTTTGTTGGCAAAGTAATGTCTCTGCTTTGTAATATGCTGTCTAGGTTGGTCATAACTTTTCTTCCAAGGAGCAAACATCTTTTAATCTCATGGCTGCAGTCACCATCTGCAGTGATTTTGGAGCCCCCCAAATATAGTCCGCCACTGTTTCCATTGTTTCGCCATCTATTTACCATGAAGTGAAGGGACTAGATGCCATGATCTTTGTTTTCTGAATGTTGAGTTTTAAGCCAACTTTTTCACTCTCATCTTTCACTTTCATCAAGGGGCTCTTTAGTTCTTCATTTTCTGCCATAAGGGTGGTGTCATCTGCATATCTGAGGTTATTGGTATTTCTCCCAGCAATCTTGATTCCAGCTTGTGCTTCTTCCAGCCCAGTGTTTCTCATGATGTACTCTGCATATAAGTTAAATAAGCAGGGTGACAATATACAGCCTTAACAGTACTCCTTTCCTGATTTGGAACCAGTCTGTTGTCCCATGACCAGTTCTAACTGTTGCTTCTTGACCTGCATACAGATTTCTCAGGAGGCAGGTAAGGTGTGTGGATCTCTTTCAGAATTTTCCACAGTTTGTTGTGATCCACACAAAGGCTTTGGCATAGTCAATAAAGCAGAAGTAGATGTCTTTCTGGAACTCTCTTGCTTTTTCAATGATCCAACAGATGTTGGCAATTTGATCGCTGGTTCCTCTGCCTTTTCTAAATCCAGCTTGAATATCTGGACGTTCATGGTTCACGTATTGCTGAAGCCTGGCTTGGTGAATTTTGAGCATTACTTTGCTAGCATATGAGATGAGTGTAATTGTGTGGTAGTTTGAACATTCTTTGGCATTGCCTTTCTTTGGGATTGGAACAATAACTGACCTTTTCCAGTCCTGTGGCCATTGCCGAGTTTTCCAAATTTGCTGACTTACTGAGTGCAGCACGTTCACAGCATCATCTTTTAGGATTTGAAATAGCTCAACTGGAATGCCATCACCTCCACGAGCTTTGTTCATGCTGATGCTTCCTAAGGCCCACTTGATGTCTGGCTCTAGGTGAGTGATCACACCATCATGATTATCTGGGTCAAAATCTTTTTTTGTATAGTTCTGTGCAAGAATATTCTTGCCACCTCTTCTTAATATCTTCTGCTTCTGTTAGGTCCATACCATTTCTGTCCTTTATTGTGCCCATCTTTGCATGAAATGTTCCCTTGGTATCTCTAATTCTCTAATTTTCTTGAAGAGATCTCTAGTCTTTCCCATTCTATTGTTTTCCTCTATTTCTTTGCATTGATCACTGAGGAAGGCTTTCTTATCCCTCCTTGCTATTCTTTGGAACTCTGCATTCAAATGGGTATATTTTTCCTTTTCTCCTTTGAGCCCTGCTAAGGCAGGACAAATTCCCAGAATGCTGAATTATAATTGCCTTTGAATCTTTGTGTAATATACTTATAACCATATCTATAGTTTTCCTTTGATCTTTGATTCAAGTTCTGGATATAAGATGATACAACCTCAGGATCCCTCTAGGTTAATGAGTTCTTTCTCCAGGAGAAGGCAAATTCTGATCATTCAAACACCAGCTTTCCCAGGATCTCCTCCCAAGGGAGAAGGCAAGCATCATTTTACCAGAGGGAAAGGGTGAGAATAGATGACTTAAGTCCAAGGACTAAGTGGTTAGAATATCTAATGAATAAAGGTAGGAAGGCATATCCCTGTCCCCACAAAGCCCTCTGCTACCCTTCACTTGCTTTTGCTTACTTTCATACCCAGTAAAATCTTTCAGTCTCTAGCATCAGTGAAAAACAAGGAATGATCATGTAAATTACAATTAGCTCCTTTCACATCAGAGTATAAATTTAATGTCTCAGTTCCTTCTTTCTCCTTTTTCAGTGACACATATGTGAAGGGGGAAGACAAATCAGAATTTTGTGAAGTCATGATTTGTGACAGTCCCATCATGCACCTGGAATAAACAAATAGGGGGAAAGTATCCACCATATGTGTCAGAAGCCCAAGAAATTTCTAGGTATATGAATGGGTAACCTGAAAACCTCATTTCACATTAGAAATTTAATGACTGGCAATGGCAGTTGACACTTGTATTTTAATAGCAGTAGTAGGTAAAATATATTGGGAAATGTTATCTACATTACTTAATATACCTCAGTGTATTAATATTTGTTTATATATGTGTGTGTGTGTAGTATACAGCTGGTATAAACAAATATATAGTGTGTGTGTATTTATTTATTTATTTATTTATTTATTTATTTATAGGCTTCTCAGGTGGTGCAGTGGTAAAGAATCTGCCTGCCAATCCAAA